TCTTGTATGCTCTGGTTGAGAGCTCATCTCCTTCAACTGCTTTCTTGAACCTCTTTAAGGCTGTATCAGTATCTTGGGCTGTGTTCGACGCGTCGTGTCCGGCTTTCGGGGCCGTATGAGACTTTCTACTATGAGAATCCTTGATAGGATTACTCTCCATCACTGTTAGGGTATGGCTGCAACTTTACGGGATTAAAATCGATGGGGGCAGATTTTTCAAAATGATCATCTTATTATTATTATTATTATTATTATTATTATTATTATTATTATTATTATTATTATTATTATTATTATTATTATTATTATTATTATTATTATTATTATTATTATTATTATTATTATTATTCATTGATCTAGTTTAACGTCCTATGCGGTATCTATATACAGAACCATGAAGACGGTAAGCCGCTTTGGTAAGGGAAAAAGCTTTCAACAAACAAAACCCTATGTCCTGCCACTTTGAACCGACCCGGCTTTATGCTGAGGACGTTCCTTTCAACCGCAATTATGTAAACTTTCCTCGAAATTCGTTAACTCCCCCTTCGATCAGACTAACGTTATGAGAAATTGAAAAGAGAAGGCACCTCCTCACTCGGCGTTGGTCTTCGAAGTGTTCGAAGAGTAGGTCCCGATGGCGGTGCTGCTGTCGAGGCGATTATTGGTGCCGCTGGGGCTTCGACTACCTTACGCGGTCGTCCTGGCCCTCTTTTGAGTCCATCAGCCTTTTTACTGGTGACTAAAGTGAATCCTTGATCATCAGTCGTTTCGACTGTTCGCATTGGCGCCACCGTAGGTTTCTCGTTCCATATTTCCGCCGTCCTCGATAATAGCTCCATCCGAGCCTTCTCTACACTTCCCTTGTAGACCTAGTAGGTCCGACACGCTGCTTTCTGCCACGAACGATGTTCCTTGCCGCAGTTGGCACAAGAAACCCTTTTCCTCGGACAGTCCCGAGTTTGGTGAGCGCCAGCGCACTCACCGCACCTGGCTGCCTTTCCACACGACGCCTGCGTGTGTCCCCACTGGCTGCAGTTGTAACACTGCTTTGGCTGAGCCCTTGGCGACCATACCTGCGCGGTGAAGAGCATGGCGTTAATGACAAGGCCCTGTCGAACTACTTCCGTCTGCATTGCCTCCGATGGGAGGCTTACCACAATTGAACCACGATTGCGACCGTTTTTCTTTGATCGCTGATGTTCCTTTCCATCATGTAGCCATCGTATTCTGCTAATTACCAGGCCTGGAATACGTGCCTTGGTCGCCGTCTCAATCTCCCTGATGATGGCGTAGTTGTTGGCATCTCTGCCACCCTCAATTATTGTCCCCAGTGGGACTCCCAAGATTTCAACAGGTTAATCCTGCTTTAGGACGCAGAACTCTTTGGGCTGCGCCATCCTCAAGGCAGCGTCTCTCTGGGAGACCGACTGCACGAACACCTCAGTATCATTGCTCCTTAATTGCCTCACGGCGTATGCCCCATTTATATGTAATTTTGCCTTGTTAAGCAGCTCTGCCGGCTGCATGTTATTCGCTCCTTCTACTCGAATCCGTACTGCCGCTTTGGTGGCTGGCGGCGCGATGATCGAGGCGTACGTGGGTCGACCTCCCATTATTTGCGCTGGTTGTGGTGCAGTCTTGCAGACCGGCCTATCTAGACTCTCCTTTACGACCTTCTCTAAGGCCAACATTCGATCTTCCATTGGGTTAGCCGTCAGCTTTGATCGGAACATCTTGGCGTGGGCTACTAAGGCATCAAGTACCTCATCTATCTCGACCATTGGTGTCGCAGATTTATCAGTTCCTGCAATCGCCAGTCTATCTCTGACCCTGTTTAAATAATAAGCCACTGTTTTAAGTTTCTCCAATTTCATGCCAGTAGAAGTCGCGAGAGATTCTACAAGCATTATTGCGGCTGTTCCGCTATCCGTTGGTGGTGGTGTTTTTTTTTTTTTTTTTTTTGCATCAGATTTTAATTGCGTATGCAGCTATCTAGCTATGACACAATATCAAAGAAAAGTACAGAAAAGATGACTCAATTTACAAGAGGAGCACTCATGCCTCGGATTTCATTTGCAAGTACCACTGCGAAGTTATGGTGGCTTTTTCTTCACCCCAAGTCAACCCTCATCCGTGAATACCCACCCAGGGGAACGTCTCAAAAACCCTGAGTTATCCAGACATGCCTCCGTCATCCATCAACTTTTCTCCGCGCGAAATGTAATCTGAGATGTCTCCTTCCCAAGTGGAGTAGGTGCCCAGGCTACTCAAACCATACCAGAGAACATCACCAGTAGGCGGACCACAACACCTTCCATCGTTGGCTCGTTTTTATAGTGTGAGCTGCACTCTCGCAAGCGAAGCCTTGGCGCGCACAAAGCTCAATTCGTAAAACTCCATGCCAAAATTCGAAATTTCACGCCCGTCGAAAACGTATCCCTCCTTTGCATCATTTTGTAAACTTGCCCTGACCCCTCTCACGTCCATCCCAAAGAACTATCTCCCAGATTTGTGCTCCACACTTTGCTTCCTCCGTCGGGTATAAATATCGGCGTGGGCGTGTATTTGGCGGTCAACTAAGGCCAGAGAAAGTCGACTAGAGGTGTGATCATTGGGGTGAGGATATACTATGTCGTACTTGTAGACTTAATGAAGCTTAGCCGAGAATCGGACTCTTTGGGAATGAAAGATTGACGTGGTGGAGTAATTTGAATTTTTGCCTCGTGGGCCAACTTCTTTGATATTGCGAAATTTGACTGAGCTTGGCTCTGGGGGAATATTTCACTCCTAGGTTCGTAGAGGACACCGCGTACAGGTGTTCAGTCTTACCTTCCTTTGTTCTACCTCGCTTAGGTAGAAACATTATGATTGGTATATAATTTGGGAATGTACACTTGCGCTGGAACAGCTAAGAAAGTTTGTAGAGATGAGGATCCTGAATTCCAAGTCCGAGCGAAACGCCAAGTCTCACGGCAAGCGAGCCGCCGAGTTTGAGGTTCCATCAAAAATGCACCCCTCGCATTCTTTGGTCACAATTCGGGCGGCTAAGCACCTCACTCCTCCCCTACTGTATTCTGATAATTTACTTGGCATGTATCATTACTCGTTACATTATCTGGAGTATAGAGGATTTCATGTATTTAAGGAGGAGTTAGAACGTTAGTAGAAATACAAGTTTACACCTAGTCTCAAGCTCTACACACATATAGATTGTCGTAGTCGGAGCCACGAGACATCCGTGAATTTCACAGTCAACATTTATCATTTTATTATTACTAACGTGCACAAGAAACCTCAGAGAGATATCTTTTATTAATGTGCAGAAGTGAAGTTTCTATGATGATTATTATGTTACAGATCGGGGGAATGTCACGAGAAGCTTTATTAGCTGATATTGACGAAGTCTAACCTTGTTGAATGAGATTGTCTACAAGGGTGGGAAGGATATCTAAGTATCTACAAAACATAAGGAGGGCAAGACTGAACACCTGTACGTGGTGTCGTTTACGGACCTGGGTGTGGAATATTCTCCCAAAGCCAAGTTCAGTCAAATTTCGCAATATCAAAGAAGTTGGCCCACGAGGCAAAAATTCAAATTACTCCACCATGTCAATCTTTCACTCCCAAAGAGTCCGATTCTCAACTAAGCTTCATCAAGTCTACAAGTACGACCTAGTACATCCTCGTTTCAATGGCCACACCTCTCATCGACTTTCACTAGCTTCAGCTAGTCACCAAATACACGCCCACGCTGATATTTATACCCGACTGAGGAAGCAAAGCGTCGCGCACAAATCTAGGACAGTTCTTTGGGATGGACGTGAGAGGGATCAGGACAAGTTTACAAGATGATGCAGAGTGTTGATACAATCTCGATGGGTATGAAATTTTGAAATTGAGCATTTGTCGCGCCAAGACTTCGCTCGTAAGACTGCAGTTGACACTAAAAACATAACTCAATGATGGAAAGTGCCGTGGTCTGCCTCCTGGTGGTGTTATCCGTTATAGTTTGAATAGCCTGAGCTCCTACTCCACTTGGGAAGGAGACGCCTCCGACCGCATTTCACACGGAGAAAAGTTACTAGATGACGGAGGCATATCTGAATAACCCAGAGTTTTTGAGACGTTCCCCTGGGTGGATATTCACGGATGAGGGTTGACTTGGGGTGAAGAAAAAGCCGCCATGACTTCGCGGTGGTACCTGCAAATGAGATCTAAGGGATGAAAGCTCTAGTTTTAATTAAGTCATCTATTGTGTACTTTCTGTCTGATATTGTGTCATAGCCAGATAGCTGCATACGCAATTAAAATCTGATGCAAAAGAAAGAAAATAACTCTGAGTAGTATTTGCGAGTATGAGATAGAGTCATCCTAAATACGTGAAAGACGCTGATCATGTGTCATGGCAAATCTGCACACATAATAAGTGACGGAATAACTTCCCTATACACCTTCATCCCAACTGTACGCTATTCTAGTACAGTATGGCCTCACAATTGTCTTTGGCACAGAAGTTTCGCAGCTAATATTTTTGCCAGTTTGCCCGCCGGCTATGCGTCTTCCGCAAATTTCCCTCTAACGAACCCAAGGTAGAGCTACTACAAGATTGCGGCCTGTCCGGTCTAGTTGTTGACTCAAGATCTAAGTGTGTGTAAGTGGCGACAGCTGTCCTAAAGATGGCAGAGGAGGGATACACATCCTGAGGCCTTGGTATCTGTGTCCTGCAGGCGAGCGTGGAACATAGGAGTGTTGATCCTCAAATGAAGAAATCTGTGGACACATTCTACAGATTACTTCCGCTGGGAAAGTTCTATCAAGCGGGTGTTTGTTTCTAGCCTTGAAAGTTCTACTGGAAGAGTTGGTGGTTAATTTGTGATTGTCCCCATCCCTGGAGGACTAGACGACCAGGCTGCACTAATCCTATTACGGTCGCCGACGGGTGTGAAGGCAGGAAACCTCATCACAACACCTCAACGGAGATTACAGTCGGCAATTCCTCCATGGCCATACCACGATCTATTGGTTCATTGCCACACACAAGTGTCATTTCGTGCTTGCGTGGCGCGGGCAAGCGATATGTTTCGCATCAACCAACCTCCTTAGGCCGCCTTGACCGCTGCTCCCTTCATCAGAAGAGTTCAGTAAATCCCAACGAGGTCGCTCACTTCAATGCCCTTGCCTCGACCTGGTGGGATCCACACGGGCCTTCACGACTACTGCACTTGATGAACCCGCTGCGGCACGATTTCATCGCCCACTGCCACGCCACGCAGCATCAGCCACTATCCGTCGGACAGAAACTACGATACCTTGACGTTGGCTGTGGTGGCGGCATATTTGCCGAGAGTGCGGCACGACTGAGTCAGGTCAGCAGTGTGACGGCAATTGATCCGTCAACCCAAGTTCTGGCCGTAGCCAAAGCTCACGCGCGTCGCGATCCCGCACTCAAAGGCAAACTGCACTACCAAAACACGGCCATTGAAGATCTTGCGACTCCAGCGTCCGCCGCTGATCAGTATGATATTCTCAGCCTCTTTGAAGTCATCGAACACATTTCCCATCCCGCCCCCTTCATACTGCGCTGTTCTCAGTTTGTCAAACCTGGCGGCTGGATGGTTTTCAGCACCATTGCTCGCACGTGGATCAGCTGGTTCACGACCATCGCCGTAGCTGAGTATGGTATCCGACTCGTTCCGCCCGGCACCCACGATTGGCAGAAATATATCAATGAAGAAGAGCTGAGGACTTGGTTTCAGCAACAGGACGGCTGGCATAATCCACAAGTAATGGGAGTCGTGTACATTCCCGGCATCGGCTGGAGGCCAGTGAATGGTAGTGAAAGGGCGTGCAACTACTTTTTTGCCATCCAAAAAAAATTATAGTAAAATTAAAGACACTCGAAAATACCCATCTCCATGAAGACTCCTCACTACTCATCCATGCCCATAACCTGAAATCTCTATATACTTCTTTCTAACCGACAAAATTCCTATTCCCTAAGAACTAGTCGCGCTTTACCGGGTTCAAGAGATGCCCCCATCTATCGAACCTCTTTCGAATACAAGTTCTTCACAATGCCGGGTAACTGTGGTATTTCGTTCACAGGATGCAAGCTCGTTCAATAAATGTACCGACGATCCAGCACATCTTTCTTTCTCAGGCAAGTCTTGCTATGGTAGATTTATTTTGCTTTTTTTCTTTGGCTCCCGCCAGACAAACTCACAGTAAGGAACTAGCACATTAGTTAACACTGGGACCAAGAGGCGTAAACGTTAATGTTTCTGGACTTGCACCCGGTGATGGGAAATTCGATGGTTTAGAGCTATTCCCTTCTACCACGTAAGTATAAAAGCATGAGATGTAGATAGCTGTGATTGGTTGGTTTAGATTTTATTGTACTACTTGATTGCAACTATCTAGCGCATTGGGCTCCTCTCTGACCCAGGCCACACCTTGTACAGTGCTCTTTGCCTCTCATGTTTCTTAAAAGATCATTGATATATTCCCCTTGATGAATAGCCATTCAGTTCAGTGTCTTGTGTAATTCTGCCACCATCCCACGGACCGTTCTATTCAAAAAAATGATAGCAATTCAATTTGCGCGTGTGGGAAAAAGTCTCAAAAAAACCTGCAGCCCCAGCCAGGCGAGGCCTAGACACCGGGACCACATGAGGTGCACATGTTCAGCTACATCTCCCTTCTTTGTAACAGGCGAGGTCGACTTGATCCAATCCACCATTTCCGTATCGGGTGCTTTGACGCACCGGAAACTCATCGGATGGTCACTACTTCATGTACAAGGTTAGGTGATTAGAAGGGCTTAGACATTACCATCTGATCTAATTGAAGTTAGCTTCATGATAAGAGTTATGGGGGGATGTCTAGAGAGATGAAGACAATAAAAGCTGCTAAAGCGATTGAGAATCCTTGCCGAATTTCGTGGGGGACACCATTGATCTACTCTGAGTAACAATTTTACAACAATTATCAGAGCGAGCCAGCAAAAAGGCTCTGCTCGATGTATGTTATATTCTTGTAGCTGCGACTGTGGTTCGAACACAGGACCTGAGGATGAGTGACCTGCTGCAATCCTCCGCTCTACCACTGAGCTACCGCAGCTGTTGACCTGTCGCGTTAGTATGTGAATAATAATCAAGTAAGATTAGAACATCTTCATTCTTGCCAGATACCAATGCCTCTAGAGTGTTCGTATTTATGAATTCTAGTTGTATCAGACTTGCGCCCTACACCCACGAGGCGTGATGCAATCTGGTGTGCTTGAGTAAGAACTTTCACGCCAATCACGCTTGACCTAGACCCTCCTTCTAAGCTCCCACGAAAGTGGGATAGTCGTGGGGCACTAATCTGGCGAGGAGGTCATGAAGGGAAGGAAATTCCTTTCAGTATGAATAGGTCTTATTCCCGTCGGGCCGGCTTCTTCGAACGTGTAAGATGAATAGTGATCTCTTCTGAATTAGTTATGATGTTGGTATTAGGAGAGCCTCGCACCCTATTATTTTTGAAGCTATCCTCTCCAAGTACAAATGCACAAGTGGCTATTACTTAGTAGTCTTTTTGGGTACACCAGATAAGTCACATGGTCTAATGGTTATGATATCTCGTTCACATCGTGAACAACGTCCCGAGATGGTTCTGAGTTCGATCCTCAGTGTGACTAACTATTTTGATGGATTATTCTGTATACCTGTCAAAGGTGCTCCCTACGAACCTCTAGCTTTCATTGTGGAGTCTGTAGAGCAGAGACTTAGTAACGAAGTCGTCACTTCGACGAGGATTCCCAATTGCTTTCGCGGTATGTATCGTCTTCTTTTCTTAACACAATCCCCTATACCCATTATTATGAAGCTAACCACGATCAGATCAGATGGCAATATTTCAGCTCTTCTAATCACCAAACCTTGTACATGAAGTGGTAACCATCCGATGAGTTTCCGGAGCGTGTGTGGGTCCTAAACGTGGCAGGCTACGTTATGTAATATAGACTACTAAATGCGGTTAACCTATAATTAGTAAGCTACGCACAAAGTGTAGATTTCGGAGTTGGGAGTTAGGAGGGGATAGACAAATTTATTAGAACTCAAGCTTAACTATTGCATTCTGCGGAACTAGCTGTAGTAGAGCCACGAGTTATTTTTGTCACCATCCTGTTTCAATTGTGATCGATCGAAACCCACACGAACCCAGCACCCGATACGGAGATGGCGGATTGGATCAAGTCGACCTCGCCTGTTACAAAGAAGGGAGATAGAGATGAATATGTGCACCTCATGTGGACCCGGCGTCTAGGCCCCGCCTGATTGAGGCTGTAGGTTTTTTTGAGACTTTTCCTGCGCACACAGTTTCCATTGCTACTATTTTTATTTTTTTGGGTAGAAGGTTCCGTGGAAAAAGTGGCCGAATTCCACGGGTAAATACTAGGCTGAATGTCTATTCATCACGGACAATATATCGATGATCTTACGAGAAACAAAAGAGGATAGGAGAACTGTACAAGATGTGGCCTGGTTCATAGAGGAGCCCAACGTGCTAGATAGGCTATGACTCAAGTAGTGCAATAAATGCACACACACATCTACGTCCCGGGGAGGGCAAGACTGAACACCTGTACCCGGTGTCCTCTACGAACCTGGGAGTGAAATATTCTCCCAGAGCCAAGTTCAGTCAAATTTCGCAATATCAAAGAAGTTGGCCCACGAGACAAAAATCCAAATTACTCATCCACGTCGTTATTTCGCTCCCAACGACTTTGACTCCTATCTTCGTCTCATCGAGTCTACAAGTACGACCAAGTACATCCTCATTCCAATGACCACACCACTCTTCGACCTTCTCTGGCCTCAGCTGGTCACCAAATACACGCCCACGCCGATATTTATACCCGACGGAGGAAGGAAAGCGTGGCGCAAAAATCTGGGAAACAGTTCTTTGGGATGGATGTGAGAGGGATTAGGACAAGTTGACAAGATGATGCGAAGGACGGATACATTCTCGACGGGCGTGAAATTTCGAATTTTGGCAAGGAGTTTTTCGAATTGGGCTTTGTGCGCGCCAAGACTTCGCTTGCGAGAGTGCAGCTGACACTATAAACACAAGCCGACGATGAAAGGTGTTGTGGTCAGCCTCCTGGCGGTGTTCTCCGGTATAGTTTGAGTAGCCTGGGCACCTACTCCACTTGGGAAGGAGATATCTCAGACCATATTTCGCGCGGAGAAAAGTTGAAAGATGATGGAGGCACGTCTGGATAACTCAGGGTTTTTGAGACGTTCCCCTGGGTGGGTATTCACGGATGAGGGTTGACTTGGGGTGAAGAAAAATCCACCATAACTTCGCAGTGGTACTTGCAAATGAAATCTGAGGCATGAGTGCTCTTCCTTAACGATGAATCATCTATTCTGTACTTTTCTTTGATATTGTGTCATAGTTAGATAGCTGCATACGCAATTAAAATCTGATGCAAAAAAAAAAAAAAAACGACGTCCCGGTCACTTGACACTGCGTTGAGAAAATCCGTGGGAATCGCATTACGTAATCAAGAATTAGCGTGCTTGTAGCATCAGGAGTTTCCTATTGAGATTGGAGGGAACAACGAACATCTGACACCAGACTAAACGAGCCCTACAAGTGTTCTGAGATTGAAGATTACAGGCGAGCTTTGGGTCCATAGTCAACGGAAAGCCACTCCGCAACCTCTAGGCACGAATGCATGGTGTGGATCCTTAACGTAGCAGGCTACGTCATGTAATTTAGACCACTCAATTCAGTTAGATTTTGATTGGCAAATTCCGCACAAAACATTGATTCCGGAGTTGGGTGTCCGGGAAAGAGGCACACGAATACGACTCCTGTTTTACGGGGTTTAGGCGGTGTTAGTGGCTCGACAGACTTGCGGCCCCAGTCTTGCACGTAAGTGGCATTCGACAAATGTGTCTGCCTGTTGCACAAGACAAGATGCCGAGTGAGTGCTTACGTGAATAGAACATCGGGAAAGCCTTAACAGGGCCCAAAGTAGCATAGCCATGCAGTTAAGAAGTGAGCACATTGGGTTCAATTCTTACCTGCACAGAAGACATGTTCCCGGAGTAGACAGACCACGATGCCAATGTGGATATCCGTCCCAGAACGTCAAGCATATGATCATGGCCTGTCCCGAATGGGCTATAGGGAGAGGGGAGATACTGAGAAAGGCAGAGAATCGGTCATTCGAAGCGATGATGAATAACCCGAAAGATGTTGCAAGAATTACAAAGTGGATACAAAAGGAAGGAAGGCTAGAGCAGTTTCGACTGACGCTTGAAGTCGAAGCCATGATGAGTGACAGAGAGGGCAGTAGGACGAATTGATCTCCTGCCATAAATAAGGGAGTGGACGGTATCCGCACTGGATATAACAGTATTAGTGCACTTCGAGAAGATAACACAATATCAAAGTGTAAATAAATTGAAAAGCTGAGGGGGTTTTTACCATAAAGGTTTCCTGCTAAATAAATAATTAGAGTTGGTAGACACCTGCATGGGCCTTAAGGCGCCAAATCGGGCTAAATGAAATCAAAAAATAGAACATCGGGACACACTTCATGTCAGTACAGACACTTTGAGGCTTTTTCTCATATAGAAAAATATAGAATATTTTGTGACAGCCCTTGCGTGCAGCATCCGTGATTCTCGTCCCATTACATCATGCTTGACTGTTGCATTTTGCGGATTAGCTGTTTTTTGTTTTTGTTCATTAACGTGCTAGGTTACATGGCTACCGTTGCACTCCTATTGGAGCTTAAGCACGTGTGGGGTTGGGCCGGATCAGGTTAACTAGCGTGAAGTACAGATCAACCCCGTCCCACCTCAGACTTCACCTATGTGTTTAA